TACCTAAAAGTGTCAAATTATAATGCATTCAGGTGTGATAGATTGAATTATAATGGTGGTGGGTCTATGATCTTAATTAACCCCTTGGGGACGGATGATTCAGAAAAGCATTCGTACAAAATCAGAATCAAGTTGTAATTAAATAAAAAGCGGTAACTTAAATGTAGTCGTTGCTAATTTGACAGACTTACTTTGCTTTTACTTTAATTATTGTTAGTTTAATCATATATATATTTATTTTATTTATTTAAACAAAACTGGGTGCCTAGGCCGCGCAGCGGCCCCTACCCCATTCATCATGAAAATTATATACAGTGAATAAAACATTTTGAATTATGTAACAATGTGGTAACATTATAATAAAGTAACCATGATTAGAAGTATGTACAAACTTGATCGGAGATTTACATTAATTGCCATTGAAAAATGAATACAGCCATGATTAGATGGATATACATGAAATACGAGCTTAATCTGTGATATTTACATTAATTGCAGTAGAAATTTGGAATTGAGCATTAAAAATTGATGATAGCATATATACAGAAAATCGGGATTCAAAATCATGAAGATTCTACATAAATTTTGCAAAGCCTTAGTGGCGCCATCTAGCATGCTTTAATGATTTGTGGTAGCCATAAAAAAATCAAGCCGTTTACTTGTGAAATAATAAAACAATGAAAAAATTCAATATGACAAATTGGCGTTTTTACATAACACTAGAAATATTGATGGTAGACTTAAATTAAAAATAAAGATAAAATATGATTTGATATGTACAATAATTGATTTTTGAAAAATGAAAGACATAATTGATGAATATAGATAAATCATACCTTGATATATGATAAAATAACATATTTGGAGAAAATGCAGTAAATATATTTTATCAGAGAAATATTGCTCTTTAAATACAATAGAATTTGCAAAAGAATTTAACGTGCATAAGTTAATAAATATGTATGCATAAATTGGCTATATTATCAGAAAATAATGTAATTTAATTTAACGTAAGTAAAAGTCTGCAGTGAAAAGTTCAGTGAATTTAACTTTAGAGTCTTGAAAATAAAAATGAAACTCACTGCGATTGAGATGTTTCTCCGATGATCCCTCGCAGAAGGCGGAGCACTTCTTCATTTTTTAGCAATTCCTGTAATTCTTTGATTAATGACACTAATCGGTGAGCAAGTTTAGGCGTCAAATTTGGTGTTACTCGAGGGCTCCTTCTGCTGGGGCGGGTCTCGCACCCTGTATAGTTGGCTGTGTGGCTTTTGTAACAATTACAGCATTTTGGAGGTGTTGTTTTGTCTTTGTTGCATTCATGTGACCTGTGGTTTCCAGCACATTTTACACACCTTGCAGGTGCATTGCAGTGGCTTTGCGTATGTCCATAATTTTGGCAGTTGTAACATTGTATAGGTCCTAGACCTCCTCGAAATCGTTCGATTTTGATCGGGATCTGCTGTATGTTGTTGACTTCGAATACTCTATGGTGATTCGCCGTTGATGTTAGGATTATGAGAAAAAGTGGAAGGAGCTAATCATATATATAATCAATGTTAATTCAAAGTATAACTAAATAGTTTTAACAAAGTAATGGTGAATTAAATAAATCAAATAATTATAACTCCGCCCACAAAAAAACTGTTAAGGAATTACTTTGATTACCAGTTTTATCTTTTTACCCTGATTGATACGTTTTTATTCTGGCACGTATTAGTGACAGTCGGCACGAAAGGGTTAATAAACATATATCTGCCGCCAACCCCCATTTTCTAAAATTCTGCAGATTCATTACAAAGTTCAAACTACCTTCTAATGCGTTAGTTTGATGACTGAGCTTCACCTAAATAAAGAACAACTCTTCAGCGAGACGCGTGCTTGGCGAAATAGTATTTGAATAACGCCTTCTAACTTTCGAACGACTTTTACGGAAAGCAGCGAGGGAAGGTTGTATATACAGTTCATCTCCGACTATTTAATCAAGTTTTGTCATTTAACCGGATATTTATTTTGTTTCTTTATTTATCGATGCACATGATAGTTCCATTTGGATGTTCACCAAATTTTTGTTATTCTGAGTGGCTAACATGCCACAGACGACTATATATGTAAAATGTGGTATTTTAGTTTATTTATTATCTCTTTGATTATTCAATCTCAACTACTAATATCACTAAAATTTCAATTTATTCATTTCTAAAACAAAAACATCACTTTCAATAGTAAACTGAAATTTTTTTTAATATTTAATAAAACTGCACCAATACTAAGCAGTTTTGATACCGATCCTGATGAAATAAATGACTTACGGCTCTTTAAAAGGAATAAGTTCCAGGAAAAAAAATGCTAGGTAAGTGACTAACTTGAGCTGCAATATCAGCACGCCAAGTGTTGCTAAGTGCAGTTAGTCTTAATTGTATTTTAACGAATAAACAACAAAACTGAACTACAAAATAACGTGTTTTGGTTAATATAATAACGCAAAGCCACAGGAAAGGGCAACAAATAATAAAAGAAAAATTGAAATTATTTTATTTTTATTGATTGAAGAGCATAGTGGAAGAACTAAGCATCTGTGATACATTCAGACTGAAATGATAATTATTAACCTTACTTCTTTTACCATTATTACCAGAAATGCCAAGTGCCCCTGATTTGACAAAATATTCTAAAAATCGGTAGAGAACTTCAAACTAAACTGTGCAGATTTTCAGTTAGTTTTGCCAGCTTTTCAAGAAGCTCAAAATGGCGAAGACCATAAGTCTTCGAATTATTTAGTAGTGGTGGGCAAAAATCCTGCAAATCTCACTTTTAAACCGAGAATCATGCACTAAAAACTACCACTCAAAAATAGTTATCCACTGTGCGGAAAAAGTTGAAATCTCTGTATTACTATTACTACCACTGTTATTACTATTATAACTCTATTACTAAAAACTAATATAGATTAAAATGAAAGCAAAAACAATTCTGTTACTTTAAACATACCCACATTAATGTTGCAACTTTGGGTTAATTTCTCTGATTCATAAGTATTCCTAAAAATGTCACTTACCCAGTTCTTTTTCTTCAATTGCGTCTGTATATGCCCTCTAGTTTTTTTCATGATTTCTTAGTGGTATTCAGTACTCATTTATTATTTTCCTTTCTTTTCATTTAACCCGTACGAAGAACAAGTATTCAGCTAGTTAAAAACAATTATTTAAATATTTTAGTAACGATTTTTGTTTTTAAATCATTCAAAATCATTACTTTACTAAGGTCTCAGAATATGCGGGTTAGCATTTTTATAAAAATCAAGCATGAAGAAAGTTTCTTCAAAAATATTGTTTACATAAACTTATCGCTCAAATATTTACCATCTTAGCATGTGGATTTCCATTATAATAGTCATAGGTAATATTTACAAGAAAAGTTTAACTTTAAAATGTAGAAAAGTATTGTTTTTATCAGAAGCATGTACTAAAAGTAATTTTGACATTTTAAATGTCCCTCGCATGCAATATAACTTTCACAGAAAAGCAGTCATTGGCGCTTATCAGCTATAGGTTATTGTTAAAAGAAAGGCATTAAAATTTGCTGTGGATGCTTAAAATTAATGACTACTTATTTAATTAGCTTTGATTCTATAGTATTTTGTACAGTATATTAATTAGTAATTTTAAAATGTAGCAAAACTCTCAATGTTATTTTTTAAATCAATGATCAACTTTGCCATTGTCTAAGTTTATTTCTAAATAATCTTACATTTTAAAAATTTAAAGAAGTAGCATTTGAATAGGGCAATAGTTTACAGTAGGGGGCCCCTCTCATTTTCGGCGAATCTGTATGTAACTAAGATAAGACAAATGAATATCTATGTAAATAACATAAAAGAATATATATGTAAATAAACCAAAAAGTTATCTCATACGGGTAAACAAAAGTTGTGGTAACCCAAAGATGACGTCATTGAAAGCAAAGACCGCAAAGTATATGATGATAATCAGAAATGGACAAAAATTATCGCCAAGGGCAAAACTAGAGCCTTGGACACTAGTATGGATATTTTATTTGCAAAGACAAGAAGAGATAAATATCAATATTTGAATACGTAGTATGAATATTTTGTTTATTATTCACTTAGAATAGAAATTATTTTTGCGTTAGCCGATTTCTATTCTAAGTGAATAATAAACAAAATATTCATACTACGTAAGTTACGTCTATGAGTTAAACAATTCATCAGTTGGTTATATATTTGATTTTGTTTGACTTCTAATTCATTAACATTTATTAACTATCATCGCATACGACTCAGTTATTCTGACTCAATTTGCCGAACGCATGGAAATTAACAATTTTTATTTAATTTTTATGTCTTAAAAAAAATTTAAAAAGTTGGTGGTCTGCATTTTTTGGACACTTTTCGCTTGTGCCTGGCCTACCGAAAAATTTCCTAGCCTTCTTCTAATTGGTAATTGCTTTGCTGGAGTCTAAACACAGCATTAAAGTACTTATATCTATACTCATGGCAAAGCTAACCTTTGGCTTCTACTAAGATAATGACAAACTATTTACATAATTTTCTTGTAGTTTTTCCAAATAGTGCTTTATATTGCTAAATTTGACGACTTTTCAAAATTATAAATAATTCATGTTAAAGACACTTAATGAGAATGTAATATTTTGACTAAATACTAATTGTCAAGTAAAAATTTTGGATTTTAAAGCTTTTTACTATTTATATTTATTCCAATTCACTGAAAGTTGCACTCTTATAGGGTTTTTTTTAAGGAAAAAGCGTTAATTTAAAATCAGGTTATGAACTTAAGCCAGAATTTCTGTCTGTAGCATACATAATCTTCCATTATGAAAAGAATAAAAGTCTAACAGTGTTAATTCATTAGCTCTTAGTACTGAAAAGTACTAAGAATGATTATGAACAGATATCGATGATTATAATTGCTTGTTAGCTCTAGTACTTCAAAGTGGCCAGATCACGCTATTAGTAGAAAATGACATCACTGCATATGGGAAGGGAGATCGCATGTATTGGTGTGTACTGCCATTTTCATGACTTCGGCTACAGACTTCAGTTTTCACAAGTGCTGCGTATTCACGAGTGCATAAAAATATACTGTCTACAGTCACAGTATCACGGTATTTATATTAATTACCTAAAAACCTTACCCCAGTAGTACTATTTCTCTTGACATCAGTGCCTCTTAAAATTTATTTAAACTGAATTATTGTTTTCGATTGAACAACCATTTTTCTTCATTTAAGTTTTTAAAATAATAAATCGGCTAATAAGCGCATTTGAAAATTTATTAGTTATATCAGGCCTGCCAACTACTATGCTTTTGGCAAAATATTTCATAGAGTGGTAGACTTTTAAAAACCAAAGCCTTCAGAATTTTTGCCAAAGCCTCGCCTCGAAAGAGCTAGAACAATGTGGCGTTGTATATGAACTTTTAAATAATTTGAAATTAGTTGCGTGGAAGATTAATTTAAATAAATAAATAAAAATACGTTAGACATAAGCATAGCTGTCACTAGATGTTTACAAAAAGCGTAGAAAGTATGCATCCCTTTCTTTCTTGAGGCTATAATAAAACTAATAATAAATTTATCAAATAAATATAAGAAGAATATTAAAATCTGAACTGTTAAATGTGAAAATGGAACCTGTTACCGAAGTTAAACAAAAGCATGCCAATGCGCACCATATCTCAACATAAAGTGAAGCCAATGACATGAGCTGGCAGCCTAGAAATTTAATCGATTTTTGTTTGAGGGAGATGACGGAAACCTTTGGGTAGAAAGTAGGCGTTACTTCTTAAGGAAAACTCCATTATCTATTTTTAACGAACATAAATTTAGCCGTTATTTCTGTAAGTGGAATAAACAGGGGGGGGGATGAGCAAAACAGCAAATACAATAAGATATCCCTTAGCAAGTCAAGTAAGATAACCTTGTTATACATTTATAATCAATGCAACACTAATTATAACGCGATTATAATCTAATGAGACAAAATTCGTTTAATTACAATATAAATTATATCAGGATTATAAATTTTACGCAGCACGATTTATGGTTAAAGTATTCAAATGAATTTTAACTAAAAATGATATCGTAAAAACTTTTTTTTTAAGTGGAATGTGCCCAAATCTAATAAATATTAAGACGCTTCCACCCTCGCCATCTTATATTCAAGGTTAAATTTTTTATTTGTGTTTTTTCAATAATTTTTTACACTTAACAAATTTTTGATGATATAGTATTATAAGCCAGCTTAACACCTTTCAAATAAGGTAGAAAATAAAGGGATTGCCTTTTAAGATTAGAAGCGCTTGATAATTTTTAGAGCATCGATAATCTTTTTGTTAAAGTGTGGCTTATCACTACATTACCCAGAGTCCTTTTTTTTTCCTTCATTCTTAAATATGTATTTTTAATGTTTTTTTGCTGTAATGCAAAAATGCTAAAGCAGTGATAAATTTTTCTTTGTTAAATTGGTATAAAAATTTGGTTTTAAGTTCAGTTATTATTTATAGTTTTCGGTTTCCATTTTATTGCCTCAGCACTAGAAGAATGCCCCTCCATCTATCGAAGATTCAGCAAGCACCACAGTGTATGCCTACAAAGAAGTAGTAGATGCGACTTCATTGATATTGGCATTAAAGATCAATATACAGAGAAAATGGTCATTCTTAACACCCATAATCAACAAAGGAATAAAGTGGCCATGGGTCAAGAATCTAGAGCAGGTGGTCTGCCCACAGCATCGAACATGTTGGAGCTGGTAAGATAACACGGAGGAACAAATTTTTTTACCGCATTTATACAAGCATTTAATCTCACCCTATTCGGGACTGAGAATTTCAACTCCGAAATTAGTTTTGTTTTCTTAGTGATACTTTTAGTTTGGTTGATTTTTTTCCTGAATATATACAAGTTTACAAGAAAGGTAAAGATTTATATGCACACATATACACTTGCCACCTACCTTGAAAATATCACTTAAAAAAATATACATGGACCTTAATGTCATAAACTGCAGAAATGTATTATCACATCCAGAAACAAACTTTTAAGAAACATGCTTTGCGTGATATTGTTTACTTACATTAGATGTTAGAATAATTTCAATTTTAATTCAGATAAGGAAAAATATTTTAAACTTATTTTATGGGGAAAATTAGTAACAGTAGATGCAGAAGTGATAAAATCCTAAAAAAACTGCATTTTGCCTAAATTTAGCTAGATTTATTTACCTCATTGTGTCATTTTTTGTAAATTAGCTATTAGAAGAATTATTAAAACAGGTATTCTTCGCACCGAAGCAACATCAATTCTCTGCGAAATCGATTGAGTAGTTTTTATGCGATCTAAATGCCCAACACAATAAACATGATTTCTGAGAAATCGCGTTTTAAATTTCTCTAAAGTTTCTCTTCTGCTTTTTGGGACTTACCACCAAACGTGGACGCTTGGATCCCATACAATACGCCTGCTTTATCGAGATCACTTCGTTTGCGTGCACTACTGTCATATGTCTGGCTTCTTTGCTGGTGGTGGTCATGTGGTACTCCAAATGTGCTAAAAAAACTGCATTGCTCCGCTAGCAAAATTCGAACAATTCAAATACCCATGACAACCATGATGCTGAAAATTTCTATGAAACTGTAGTTTAAGGTCACGGTTGTCATATAATCGCCATTTTCAACCATATCTTTATTGAAAAGCATGTATTTTGGGGAAAACGTCCAAATAAGCAAAACTGAGCATAGCTCATTGTCAATGTTCGATAATTAGAGTATATATATTTAACCCCTAAGGTTAGTCTTAAAAAGGGCGCGTTCGGAAATTATATGTGAATCCTCATTACTCACAAGTTAATTTTTTTTTAAAAAACAACTATCATGAAAAAATGGAATAAAATGATAAGCCGGGATTTCGAACACGTTTTGACACTCCAACAGTTCATTTGGACACTATGTCCAAAACAAAAATAAGATAAACTCTACTCAAAACTTTATCAATCCGAAACCATGTTACAAGAGACAATTCTTAGAAAGCAATTGTGGTCTAATTATTTAATATTTAAAAACTACTCCAATGCTTGCATTATCTGGAGTCATAAAAATTTGCAAAAAAAAATTTTTAAAATTATAGTTACGCTTCGAGTCTAATGACTTGAACTATGCGTTTTTTAATTTTATTTTGCGAAAGAACTTCCGAAGAATCATGCTAAAAAGCACAATTACATGGCTTTATTTTTTCCTTATAGGAATGGGATGAAGAACTTGCTTACATAGCACAGAAATGGGCAGAACAATGTATTTTTGAGCATGAATGTTGGCCATGCCGTTCTTCGAGTAAGCTAAAGAATATTTTTGCAGAATTTTCTAAAATATATTTTTATTGTTTAATTTATTTTTTTTTATTTATTTGATTTGGAGCTAATTTTTCAACAATTCATCTGTAGAATTTCTTGAACTTACACGTCATAAGCTTTTTTTACAATCTATATTTTCGAAACAAGTAAGTAAAAGTTGTGCAAAACACGATCCGAAAGATTTGCTTATTTTCCATAAGCAGATAGTGAATTAAATAGCTTAAATTTTATTTGAATCCTATACTTGCTCTTCAGTTCCAAAAATAAACACATCGTTTGAAAACTAGAAAGGAGAGACGAAAAACTAACTACAATGGAATATTTCTCGTATTTATTATTCAAAAAGTTCCAGTAAAGATCAGCAAAATGGCAAAACTATGATACAATTTCATGTGTGATTCATGCAAGACAAAACACTAAATTATTAGGAAGCAAATTTAACAAAAAATTTTTTTATATTGGAAAAGTAATTTTTTAATTTTTGCTTGAATTGCAACTTAAGACAATTTTTATTCCTCGTATTTAACAATAGGAGATATTATGCAGTGAATGAATAAGCTTATTACATATTCACTACTTTAATGCATCGTTTTGAACAATTTAAGACATAATGCTGTAAATGAATATGCTCATTACATATTCACTATTTTTATTCCTTATTTTTAACAATTTAAGATATTATGCTGTAAATGAATATGCTTATTACATATTCACTATTTTTATTCGTCGTGTTTAAGAATTTAAGATGTTATGGGGTCAACGAGTATGCTGATTGCATATTTTAATAAATAATTATTAAAAATTATTTATAAAAAATTTATTCATTGAATGAGGAAGAAGTTCTTGCACAAAGATAAGAGTATGCGTACTATCACTTTTCTTTTTTCTTTTCTCCAAGCTTTGGACATGTACCTAGGTCATTATGGACCCTTTACCATATAGCCCAAAGCTTGGCTACTGGTCCGGCTCCACTCCAGCCTAGGNTCGTGAAAAAAAGCGCTTTCGACAAAATACTAAAATAGAGATCTATCGACAAAGACCACTCACTTCTGCCTAGCTTATGCTCTCTCTGGTTATTTCCGTTTCCGTTTTTAAAAGCGCTATATGTCGAGCCATCTCAGCCAGATTTGGCATGTGACATTTTTATAGGCAATCAGTGGTCGATTTTCTAGCGTTGCCATTCGGGGAGTTGTAATGAGGCTTATTTTTGTCGCCGTGTAAGAGAAATATATATATAGATGCTGTAAGTTTTCAGCAGTTACTCATGACTGTTAGGTCAAATTTAACCTATCTTTAGCTAGAGCGCCCTCTATGCTTATTCTGAAGTGAAAACAATACGACAATATGAAGAAAAGTCACAGTTTCAAGAAAGTAATTGTGATCTTATTATTTAATATTTAAAAACTACTCCTATGCTGCATTATCTGGAGTCATAAAAATTTGCAAAAAAAATTATTTTGTTAGTTTTTGGCTTTGTGGAAAAATGTGTCTAAATTGGCGATTTTGAAAAAGTTTAATAACTTTTTAAATATTTGAGTTATTTGTCTATCCTTAAGTCCAGATAATTGTTTTTGTCAAGATCGCATCCTATAGTTTAAAATTATAGCTACGCTTTAAGTCTTATGGCTTAAACTATGCGTTTTTCTTTAAATTTTATTTTGCGTAAGAACTTCGAAAAATCATGCTTTAAAGCACAAATACATGGCTTTATTTTTTTCCTTATAGGAATGGGATGAAGAACTTGCCTACATAGCACAGAAATGGGCAGAACAATGTATTTTCGAGCATGAATGTTGGCCATGCCGTTCTTCGAGTAAGCAAGGAATATTTTAGCAGAATTTTCTAAAATTTATTTTTATTGTTTAATTTATTTTTTTATTTATTCGATTTGGAGCTAATTTTTCAACGATTCATCTGTAGCATTTCTTGAACTTATACATTATAAACTTTTTTTACAATCTGTATTTTCGAAACAAGTAAGTAAAAGTTATGCAAAACACGATCCAAAAGATTTGCTTACTTTCCATAAGCAGATAGTGAATTAAATAGCTTAAATTTTTATTTGAATCCTAAACTTGCTCTTCAGTTCCAAAAATAAACACATCGTTTAAAAACTGCTCTTAGTGTATACATACTACTAAAGAGTACGTATGCCATTTAATTCGAGACTTATATGAGAGTACCATATTGAGATTACGCCAGTGTAATCTTGGATCGCTAGAGGCGGAAAGTCTCGTATAAGACAGGACACAATACGCTATGAAAGGAGAATCACGTGATCACGTACATGTGATCATGATCCTGAAAAAGTTTAGGATAATACAGTTAAAAAAAGCTTTAGATGAATAACAAAAAGTGTGATTACAGAATTTAATGAAAAATAATATAACTGTCCAACCACGTGTTACTTAATCGTTAACATACATTAATTTAGTAATTAATTAAGTGAAATAATTGGATGTCCATTTTTCTCGAAGAAAGATTTCACATTTTATGTTTCCAGGAAGTTACGCCATTTCACAGAATTTGGCTGAACTTACATATTCTTGTCAAGCAGATTGCGAAGTGATGGAACATGACTGGAAAACAATGATTGAAGCGTGGTACAACGAAGTGCAGGATTTCAGTAAAAGTCTCATACCATCTATTAAGTTTGATCCCATTTACGGCCACTTTGTAACGGTAAGTTAACCCATCCTTTTACAGTTTAACAAGTCTGGCAACACTAATTCAACAAATATTACAATCCACTAGAAATGTAAACTAATTGCTTTTATACTTTTTGTAACCATTCTTCTATAAACAACAAAGAACTAAAGTATGTCGCTTTCATTTAGAATGTACCATCTGAGGTTTCACTTGCCTATGTCCTGCCAGACTGAAATATTCATTTTATCCCGTACCACGTTGCTGACGTTACCACGCTGCTTATCCTCAGGGGTTAACAGATCATGGGTTTGAATCCCCTTACCATCTGGCTAAACGTGGGAAGTTTTGACCTCTATGTAGCGCAAATGCGTGTTACTTCCATCAAAAAGTCATCCACGAAGGCTAGTTTGTCCCGATTCTTAATCACGAAGTTCCCTTATCTTCTGGGTTGGACTCAAAATTACTAGGCTATGGAGTTGAACATTGATAATCATGAACTCAGAATTAAATTGTATAAAATAAAACAAAATGCATTCCGTACATATAAAATAAAAATTGCGTAAACATAAATTTTAAAAATGCTCCCTGGATTGACCATGTTAAACAAAGTTTTTCTCACTGCGAATGAGCCTCGGCAAATTTATTCTTTTAAAATGAGGCAAAACCTTGTCTTACTATAAGAATTTTACCAATTTTTGTATAAAAATATAATTATATTTATCCGTTTGAAAACCCGCGATTCAGATATTAACCCGCTATTTTGTTAAAAAATTTTGTGTGTCGTTGTAATTGTATTGTTTTTATAATATTCTTTTTATAATATAATTGTATAGTTTTTATAATCTTCTAAACATGTTTAAGTATGATCATTACTAAGTATCCAATAGTTCAATAGCCAATTAATTATCTGTTTATGAATGCGCATCATATGGTACGTATCATCATTTACGTATTTGATATGATATGTATCATCATTCGCGTATTTGAATATGCATCATCATGATCATGTGCATCATAGTGTACTTTAATACGCTTCATATGAATTGAAAAATTATAAACATTTTATGTTTCATAGATGACATGGGCGGAGACCTATAGAATTGGTTGTGGATATACATCCTATAGAGTTGGAAGATCAACTGCGAAACAACTTTATGTATGTGACTATGCACCGGCAGCGTAAGTATTCATTAGATAGATATTACATAGTGCATAGTTACATATTGCATAGGTAACTAGATAGACATTATATACTGCATTTTTCGCTAATGCAATAGATATATCTAAACTAAGTCATACCAGTTTTGTTGAAAAATATTATCCTTTCTTTTTTTGTTTGTTTAGCTGAAATTATTTAAATAGTACTATCTTTTCACTTTAGAATTAAAATTCATAGGACGATTCCTATGAATTATATCAAAAAAAAGAAAAATCGGAAATATATAGTTTGAGGAATATATACTTCGTCGGAAATATATAGTTTGAAGGTGGTAAGTTTGTGTTAACAAATGAACATGGTGAAATTAATTTAGTGAAAGGTTATATACAGAATAAATCTGGGGTAGGATAGTTGTAACGAGACTTCAGATTTAAGAACCTTCTCTTATAGTTATTAAAATATTCTGGTAATTACAAACATGATAAAATACAGCTTTTTATTTACAGCTTTACAGTTTTTTTTACAGTTACACGCGTACCCTGTATAATTGTATTCGTTCGCATTCTGTAAGTAATACAGAGATGCCAACTGCTCTGGATACGGAAAAATATTTTAAATAACGATAGAGATCGACAAATAAAAAATTGCAGAATTTCAGATATTTCTGCCAGCTTTTTAGAAAGCTCAATTGTATTATTGCTTTTTTACTTTATTTAAAAACAACTGGGCACCTGGGCCGCGCAGCGGCCCCTATCCCATTCATCGTGAAACTACAACAATGAGGTAAAAACATTTTGAATATAAGCAGTCGTTGTGGTAGCTTTACAATAATATTACCATGATTAGAGAAAATACAAACTTGAACTGAGATATTTACAGTAATTGCCATGAAAATATGTACAGAAAATATAACGTTGATTCGAAAAAATTACAACTTGAACAAAGATATTTACATTAATTGCCATAAATATGTACAGAAAATTGAATATGAGAATTAATAAATGATGATTATGTATATACAAAAGTCGTGATTCAAGAACGTGAAGATTTAACATAAACTTTCGACAGGCCTTAATTGCATTATTGCTACAAAGTGGCGTATCACATAAGCCTTCGAATTTTTTGGATGTAGTGGTGAGTATCTACCCTATAAATGGAATTTTTAAAACAAGAATCACGCATTAAAAGACTACCACTCGAAAATATTTATCCTTAGCAAGTTAGCATCTCTGGTAATAATTAAACTAAAAAAGAATGTTACATCTCTAGCGGAATTATTCGATGAGAAAAATGCACATTTGAATAGAGAAAAAATTATATCTTTCGTCCGAAACTCAAGAATTGAAACTTTGGCATCAAATCGCCAAAAATGAGAGGGATTATCGATTGTAAAAAAATTACTGATTCAATAAATAATTCTTAGAACTTAACGATCAACTCCATGCACAGAGGAGCAATTGCGTATGAAAAATTGCTCCTCCATGTTTGATAAGCGAAAATATTAAATGGCGGTCACTAAATGTGTTATAGCAATAAACGTTTAACTGTAAATATTATTTTAAGAACATGATTACTAAGCAAAATAATTTATGTTCCCCAACAGATATTTATAATATTCTAAGGGAAAGGTTTAGACGTCGAATGCGTAAGCAAACACAATTATTTTTATTGCATATATAAGTAAATTGCTTACTTGCATATGTACTAAAATGAACTTTGTAATAAAGTATACAGTCCCTGCCCAAATTATTCGACGCACTCTAAGATGTAAAATCTTAATTATCAGGTGATACTATACAGCTTTATTGTTTTTATGCGACTGAAACCGATTTGCACTTGCTTACGTTTGTGTATCAGTTGGTTAAATTAGACGATGTGTGTAATATAAATTTGACGATAGGATAAATTAGACGATATATTATATAAATATGGAATATTTATTATATCAAGTATTATATCAGTACATTATAATTATTCGATCAAATTATTAGACGCGCTGTAGTTTTTTAATAATTGCATGTTTTGCACGAGTTTATAGGCAATACTTTTATATTTAAACATGAATGTAATATGTTTTAATTCAGGAGATTTTTTATATACTTCCTATTTGTGTTTATTTTTAACGTATTGCATATTACAATGTTAACCAATTGATACAGGAGCGTAAATAAGTGCAAACCTGTTTCATCCGAGTAAAAACAATAAAGCTGTAGGGGAGAGTGGGGTCAATTGTAACATTTTTTACTTAACTATTTTTAACTGACAAAAATTCCAACATATTATTAGTATTAATTGACAGACGAGTAAAGTAGACTATCTTCTACTAGAAAAAAAAAAAAATACCTTATTTTAAATGTTATTATATTAGTTATTAACAATTTTTGACAGTCGTGCACTTGTTACAATTGTCCCCACTTACGGGGTCAATTGTAACAGTTCATAAATTCAACTAAAACATAGTTAATTATACATATTATCATAGTTGTGATATATTTTTTTATTGATCAAAATAGTAGTGATATTTTAGGAGTAAAAATAATAATGAGCAGAGACCTAAAGGGTTAAACTTTTAACTTTAAGGGGTTAAAAATTTTAATTTATGCTGTGAAAGGTGACAAATAAAATAATGCACATGCAACATAATATAAATGATATAGGAAACTATTGGTGGTTCTTAAAGAGTTAAGTAATGGTTTGTAAACATAAGATTATTTATTTTCAGCTGTTACAATCGTCCCTTTACTTATTGTTACAATCGTCCCCAAGACTCCATTTCAGCTTCATTTGTTAAAGACAATACTAGTTAATTAGCAAAACTAATCTTTTTTAAAATTGAAATGTTAATTAAGGTGTCCACTTACATATTCGGTTACTAATTTTCATTTGTTTAAACAAAATTACTTTGCTACAATATAATATTCTAATACCAAAAAAGTACTTGCGTAGCGTGAAAATATCTTTTGGGATGTAACTCGTTCAAAAGTACATAAAAATGGTTGCCATCAGGTGTGTACATGTAGATTTATTAAATACACCTTGTGCGCCACCTAGGAACCAAATCTAGAACCCGACACTCGAAATTTTTGCTCTGTTACAATTGACCCCAATCTCCCCTATAGTATCACGTGATAATTATAATTTCACACAGAATCTTATTGTGTGTCTAATAATATGGCTAAGGAATGTAGTTTCAATTTTGTAGGAAACTCTGCTTTCTGCTAAAATTATACAAAATTACAGAAACTACGACGAAATTATTTATTCGGAAACAAACAAAAACTAATTGCTAGGGGATGCCACTATCTAGTATTAATATAAACTGTATAATAAATATGTTTGTTTTTTTTTGCTTTTCATAACTCAAGTTACCACATTATTTGTTCCTTTCTTTTAAATAAAAAAAAACGCAATGTTTTCAAAACGTTCTTCTTCTCTCTCTCCGTTTTCAGCATAAGGGAGAAGCGTATGTATAAGGAAGGATCTCCCTGCTCAGAATGTCCCCTCAACTCTTGCTGTGGATCGACATGCCGTGATCCCAAAAAATACGCTGGACTCTGTCGTAAATATATATTATCATATTCTTACATTATAAATTAAACTAAGTTGGTGCCATTCTATAATATACACTTAACAAAAGCGATATGACACATTTTTTATGCCTCAACGAACATCTTTTATTATGCAGGAAAATTTCTGATACTTAATTGAGATACATTTTTATTTGGATAAATATGATGGCATTTGATATATATGGCATGCGAGCAGCTATGTTCTTAATATTACTATTATTATTCGATTTCGTAACTTTCCTTTTGCATGCATGCCAACTCAACTATAAACCTATTTTATGCACTCCTACTTTAACCAATGCCTCCCCGAGATGACTTAGGGGATAAAACGTTCATGGGTGAGATCATTTATGGGTTAGTGACGGATGATGGGTTAGATCATGAGTCCCTTTGCCGGTTGGTAAACCTAAGGAGGTTCTCGTGGTCTTCCACTCCATGTAACGCAAATACGGGTAAGTTCCATCAAAAAGTCCTTCACAAAGGAAATTTCTCCCAATACTTGATCCAGAAGTTCCCTTGTCTTCTGGATTGAGTTCAAAATTACAAGGCTGCGTTGTTGAACATTAGTTGTCATGAACCCTAAAAATTGGGTCGGCTGTTCACCGACGGCATTTGATGACATCTATCGTAATAATCCCCCACTGCGCAGCTTAGTAACCCGAACGTAGTGATCTCTTTCTTATTTCTTCCTCCACTGCGCAGCTTTGTAACCTGAACGTAGTGACATTTTTTCATTTTTTCCTCCACTGCTTAGTAACACGAACGTAGTGATATCTTTCTTATTATCCTCCACTGCGTAGTTTATTTTCGTTACATCGAACTACTAAATTGATCCGTGCTGAAACCTTGTTTCTTCTAGGTGGTGTTGCTTTAACCCATTAATGCACCTTCACAAATTATTGCTTCTACAATTAGAGCTGTGATCATGAGTTTTTTTTCATTATCTTACTTTCGTTTTTTTCAAGTATAAAAAGATTTACTCACATTTCATTTTTAAAATTCTTCGCTTTGTTACGGATGAATGCATGCTTTCCTATACCTATATAAAATCATTTTCGGAATCTCACCCTGAGGTTTATCTGACCCTTCATTTAAAATTTACGGAAAAGGAAGGGGGCGTTTACTAAGGCTGATCTATTATGATAAAAAAAATTATCAAAATAAAATAACAATTTACAGTAAAATGCAAATCTAGGATAGGAAATACTTGCCTTAGTCACAGACATAAACTTCGAACTGGGAGTCTGAGACCTCAGGTGTGACCTTTTTCCATTATATAATCTTGAGATACTGGAATTTGTAGTGAGTCATTTAGGTTAAACCCTTTATGCACAGATTTTTTGAAAATAAAACCGGCCAAAAAAATCACTTTTTTTTTGTAAAAAAACACACTTCAGAACAAGGTTTCCATTTGCTGCCTTTCCTGGTTCAATTTTTCTTTTGGTGGACAATTTTAATACACTGCACTTTCGTTCCATGTAAAAAGGCTATATTTTATTCTTGAATAAATAAGTGTTATAGCTTGCAATCCTATGTAAATCATAAATATCAATAAAACGACTTTTTTTTTCTTCTTAGCTTTCACATTGTTATTTTCAATACTCGATTATATTCGAGTGTGAAAAACTATAGCAGCATAAAATACAACGCCGCTTGAATTACCTTGAGTGTGCACAGTTTGGCCTGTTTAGCCTCCACACGGTTTTATACAGTTAGTCCGATCAGACCACTGTGAAGGATATCCATTTATCGAATGAGTCATTTAATACAGAATATAGTTAAAATAAGAAAGTGGTAGCAAATATATGACTTAAAATTTATTTTATGTATTAATATTACATATCTGCCAACTCTTCCGGATTTTCCGGAAGATTTTATTTTTATATTTAAAGTGGTAGCAACACTCAGGTTATTCCAAATAACTTTTTGAATTATAATGATAATTAAATATGAGTTTGACCACCACTACATATTAATAATTACATCAAAGCATAATAATCCTTGCACTAGCGAATTTCAACGGGATCAAAATATAAATTTATTTTTGAGTCAGATTGTTTTTCGTTTATAGTTTTACAACCACTCTGAAAATCCATTCTCGGAAAGAGTAAAACTTGGCAGGTATGATATATTATCGAAATTAATTGGTTTTTCTACTGTTTGGGCATTCAAAAAGTCTTTGATTGATGTAACAGTACTTGCTCCTTATAATTATAGATGTAATAATAAATAACTAAATCATTGTGGTATCTGTGAATCTTTTAATTCACCCAAATAAATGAAAATCCTGAAAAAAAGTTTCCCACCACAATGAATGCATTTGAAAAAAGGAACTGTCCTAAATGTATGACTCTGGGGGCGTTAACCGGTTAAGGAAAGAAAATCTTAAAAATCGCACTCTATTTTATATTACTGTGGTTTCCTTTAACAAATAATCCATTAAAATTCCTTTTTAGAAAAGTAAAACATGCAGGATAATTCCCTATAGAAAGTTATTAAAGTACAGAATATTTTTTACCCCTCGGGCCCATATAAGAATTGAATCAGTTTCTTATTACCTCCCACTTTCTGTCTAAGAAGTCGGGATCAATAACATGAATTACAAAGTTGAAAAGTTTTCTACCTGAGAAATACGAAATTCAAAACATTTATATTCATGTATTTAACATATTTAGTGGTAGTTTCATGTTATATAAATTCATTATTTAGTATGTGTTTTATTAAAAAAAGATAGAATAATTTTTTCCTCAAGAAAAAAATTGGAAAAGGAGTTTTGTACCAGATGAATTCTAAAAATTCTCATAAAACTCATCGGGGATCACGATTCTTTGATCCGCAGAAAATGATAAACTTGTTTTATCAACTTCTTTAAATTTACTTTTCTTTTAAGTTTTCGTTTAAATTCAAATTCTGTTCTTTAATATCTAGATGTGTTAACACAAAGTAGTTAATATAGTGAGGAACGTTTCAAAATACAATATCAGAGCTTAGTTTCATTAAGATTTCTTATGCTTTTGACAGTCCGTACCATCTTTTCTTACTGACCTCTAACCGACGTATTTTCAGAACCTAACCGACGTATTATGAATATGAATATGTTAAATACATGACCTCAGAGTCAGATATTCAAATTCCCTTTGACATCCTCGTAATTGCCAAAAGAGGTTCAAATTAAACTTTATTTTCTTGTTGTGCTTTTTAAAAGTCCGTGGGGAACCCTTTAATTTATTCTGAGTTAACCGTCCATAGTATCCACTAACCCCTTGAGGGCGGGTGATTCATAAAAGCATTCGTACAAAATCAGAATGTAATTAAATAAAAAAAACGGTAGCTTAAATGCAGGCGTTGCTAATTTGACAGAATTACTTTGCTTTAACTTTAAATATTGTTAGTTTAATCATATATATTATCAATGTTAATTCAAAGTATAACTAAATAATTTCATTTTGAATTAAAGTAAAGGTGAATTAAATAAATCAATTACAACCCCGCCCACAAATAAACTGCTAAAGAATTACTTTGATTACCAGTTTTATCTTTTTATCCTGATTGATACGGTTTCATGCTGGCACGTATTTGTGACAGATGGAGCGAAAGGGTTAAATGTACTTTTTTCCAGGACTATCAGGCACGCCACCGATTCTGCCTCCCAAACAAACACGCCTCTTCTACTGCTCATTTCAGGAAGGAGATTCGAACTGCTTGTTTTATCCACAAGGATCTGCAACATGGGAATTCGTAAGAACAATTGATGGTAATTCTATATATATATAAATTGTGTTTATATATATATATATATATATATATATATATGTTATTACGTAATTACAGCAGTCTACAGCATTACCATTGCTCACTGGCCGCTTTTACTTCCGAGTGGCTAACCACTCACATCGCGACTCATCTTTGTACTGGATCCACCTGGAGTTAATCTTTCTCATGAAATTGTATTGTAAATAAAATCATATATATCCATATTTGCATGCTTTGGATTTAAATTATATTAGTTAAGAAAATAATTTGTGTAAAATAAAAATATCCTTATTGCCGATAATGTAAGACTTCCTTTTTGATATGAAAACGGGCGAAATTGCTCCATAAATTTTTATCCGATTTGTTTTAAAATGTGACTGCTTAAATAGCATAAGAGTAGTTCCCATCTTTCTTTTTTTTTTTAAAATTTTGTTAACGAAATTTCATTGTATTGTACAAAGAGTATCTTAAAAGTCAGTGTTTAATACTTATTTCAATATAACTGACATAAAAGAAATTCTAAAGCTATGTATGCTGTCAAATGAACTTACTAAGAGTGAATTCTGAAATCAGTGTTTTAAAAGAACTTCAATAAAATTTCGATATTAATACAAGCATTAAAATTGTACGTTCCATTCACGTTAAAAGTCTAGATCATGGAGGTTAAGGATTCGCCATTTCGGAACCAACGGCTTGATTTTGGTTACACTGTCAGTATTGCGCATCGACTGTCTTTACTTCCCTGAAAAGCTTATAGATCAGAAGCGCTGTATGCGCTTTAAGCCATCCGTAGGATGCTTCACATCTCAATGCTTCGCAATGGTAGCTTAAAACATTAACCACTGTGTCATTGCGGTTTAATTTTTTTCACGGTTAAAAAGTCTTTCACGCTACGAATTTTTAAAAATATTTTTAATTTTTTTTGGACTGTGGTAGCAAATAAGATTTTCAAAAATGTTGCTTGAAATTATTTCAAAAGTATATGTTTACATAGATAAAATTTAAAATTTTCGTGAAATTTAACAAAAAAAAAAATTCTTTTGTATTAAAATACTTGCTTA